AAAAGCCCAGGTCCAGATGGTTTTAGTGCAGAATTCTATCAGACCTTCCAAGAAGACCTAATGCCAATTCTCTTCAAACTATTCCACAAAATAGAAACAGAAGGAACACTACCCAATTCATTCTATGAAGCTACAATTGCACTCATACCTAAACCACACAAAGACAGAACAAAGAAAGAAAGCTTCAGACTAATCTCCCTTATGAATATTGATGCAAAAATACTCAATAAAATTCTGGCAAACCAAATCCGAAAACACATCAAAACAAACATCCATCGTGATCAAGTAGGCTTTACCCCAAGAATGAAGGGATGGTTCAATATTCGGAAATTCATCAACATAATCCACTATATAAACAAACACAAAGAAAAAAACCACATGATCATCTCACTAGATGCTGAGAAAGCATTTGACAAAATTCAACATCCCTTCATGGTAAATGTCTTGGAAAGATCTAGAATTCAAGGCCCCTACCTAAACATAGTAAAAGCAATATACAGCAAGCCAATAGCCAACATCAAACTAAATGGAGAGAAACTTGAAGTAATCCCACTAAAATCAGGGACTAGACAAGGCTGCCCACTCTCTCCCTACCTATTCAATATAGTACTGGAAGTCCTAGCCAGAGCAATTAGACAACAAAAGGAAGTCAAAGGGATACAAATAGGAAAGGAAGAAGTCAAAACTTCACTATTTTCAGATGATATGATAGTATACTTAAGTGACCCCAAAACTTTCACCAGAGAACTCCTAAACCTGATAAACAACTTCAGCAAAGTGGCTGGCTATAAAATCAACTCAAACAAATCAGTAACCTTCCTCTACTCAAAGATAAACAGGCTAAGAAAGAAATTAGGGAAATGACACCCTTCACAATAGTCACAAATAATATAAAATACCTTGGTGTGAATCTAACCAAGGAAGTGAAACATCTGTATGACAAGAACTTCAAATTTCTGAAGAAAGAAATTGAAGAAGATCTCAGAAGATGGAAAAATCTCCCATGCTTATGGATTGGCAAAATTTAATATAGTAAAAATGGCCGTCTTGCCAAAAGCAATCTACAGATTCAATGGAATCCCCATTAAAATTCCAAATCAATTCTTCATAGAGATATAAAGAGCAATTTGCATATTCATTTGGAATAACAAAAAGAAAAAAGAAAAAAAACAGGATAGCAAAAACTATTCTCAACAATAAAAGAACTTCTGGAGGGAAATCACTATTTCTGACCTCAAGCTGTACTACAGAGCAATAGTGATAAAAACTACATGGTATTGGTACAGAGACAGATAGGAAGATCAATGGAATAGAATTGAAGACCCAGAAATGAACCCACACACCTATGGTCACTTGATCTTTGACAAAAAAGCTAAAACTGTCCAGTGGAAATAGGACAGCATTTTCAACAAATGGTACTGGTTCAACAGGAGGTCAGCATGTAGAAGAATGCAAATCTATCCATTCTTAGCCCCTTGTACAAAGCTCAAGTCCAAGTGGATAAATGACCTCCACATAAAACCAGATACACTGAAACCAACATGCAAAAACCAAAAATGACCTTTCTGTATACCAATATACTAAGGGAAAAACTCAGGTAAAACTCTATTCCTAATAAAAATAAAATACTTAGGAATAAACCCGAGGGGGAGAGTGGTCTCTACGATAGAAACTCTAAGAGAATAAAGAAATTGCAGAAGTCATTAGAGGATAGCAAAGAACTTCCATAGTCTCAAGTTGGCCAAATTAACATTTGAGAAAATGACTATATTACCAAAAGTCATCTATAGACTCAACACAAACTCCATCAAAATTCCAATTGTAATCAGGGTATGAGGAGCACATAAGGGGATAGATGTAAACAAAGTTTAATGATATGTGTCATATATAGATATGTATGCAAATGAAACCTATTTGTATGTTAATTTTAACCTGATATTTTAAAGAACTAGCCTCACATAAACTCCCAATAGAGAGGGGGAAAGACCAAAGAGGCTGTGGAGCATGAGTGAGCCTCAGACCTTATCAGACAAAAGAGGATGCACATAATTGGTTGGGCTCAGAAGTAGGAACAGAAAGATATTTGAAGCAACTGTTAAGGCCTAAAATTTTCCAAATTTAATAAAAATCTTAAAGTCACATACCCAGAAACTTCATGAATATCAAGAAAGGTAATATTAAGAAATACCAAAGTCTACCCTAATCAAATTGCTTAAAGCCAAGAGATGAGAAAAATCTTAAACTTGCAAAGGTGGCTGGGGTGTATGGCTCATCAGTAAAGTACTTGTTTGGCAAAAGAGAGACCCTATGTTTGAAACCAAGCACCACAAAACACACATGCGCACACGCGCGCACGTGCACACACACACACTGATACCACAAACTAGCAAAGGATTTTTAAATTCATAAGCAGAGAATGAATGATAACAACCCATAACATCATGTCAGAAAACATGAAGGCAAAATATAATGAATAAACAAACTTCAAGTGCTTGCGACTGTCAAACCTGGAATTCTATATCCAATAACTGTATTTTTCTGAAATAAAGCTCTCAAACCAATAAATCCAATGAACAAATTTCTTGAACCAAGACTTAATTAAAAATATTTATTAAGCACAGTGGAGCAACTGTGGCACACACCTTTAATCCCAGCACTCAGGAGGCAGAGGCAGTCATATCTCTGAGTTCGTGGCCAGCCTGGTCTACAGAACGAATTCCAGGAAAGCCTACACTACACAGAAAAACCCTGCCTCAGAAAAAAAAAGAAAGAAAGAAAGAAAGAAAGAAAGAAAGAAAGAAAGAAAGAAAGAGAGAAAGAAAGAAAAATAGACAAAGGCTTATGGGGCAGCTCAATACCACAGAACTTTTGCAGCATCTGTGAGGTATTGGGTTTGATCCTCAGTACTACAGGAGGAAAAAAGAAAGAAAACAATTGGATAACCTAAATAATTACTACCCAACAAACCAAACACAGACCTAAAAATATCTGTATGAAACACTGAGCTCAGATTGTTTCCTGGGAGAATGTTTTCTACACACCTACAAAAATAATTGCAATGTGCTCCTACCACCTGTTGTACGGTGCTAGCTCAGTGAGAAAGCCAAGTGCATGTATAGAGGAGTTCAGCACGACTCATGTACATCAATGCAACTAAAATAGGAAAGAGGTGGGCATGACGGCACTCCCCTGTGATCTCCAGACTTAGGAGGCTGAGCCAGGAGGCCAGCCTGGGCTACAGAGTACATAAAAAAACTGTATCAAAAAACAAACAAACAAACAAACAAAAAACAAAACAAAGGACAAAGGTGTAGAGACCTTCCTCAACTTAATAAAACACATCTGTAAAGAAGCAACATTAGACAGAAGGGTGAAGCCCACATGCATCTTGATTTTCATTGACAACTTTCTCACTAGTTGCTTGTTGCTGTTGTTTGTGTGTGTTGTTTAGCATGGTTCATTCCAAAACATTCTATCCAAAATTTCCCCTCTGTACTGAGCCCTCGGATTCTCTTGGAAGCTTGACTTAGGCTTTCCATCATCATTACCATCTTATTCAGTTTATTACCAGAAGTTGAGAATTTTTCTGTTAAAACATACCCCCCTGATGTCCTGGGTTGAATGGAGACCTGCTTTCCGTTTTTTTATCCTTCCCCTGGCTGTGTCTCAGGTGAAGACCTTGTTTCAAAAGCAGTATCTGCTGATGTAGCTAGTTACAGCAAACCCACACCAAACTGAGGGGGTGTCCTAGATCCAGTACTCTGGTCTTGTGAGAAGAGAGTTGGACACAGTGGTGTGCACCTAAAATCCCAGCATTCAGGAGCCCGAGGTAGGAATAGATGGAATTTGAGGCATGCCTGAGCCTTGCAGAGAGAGAGAGAGAGAGAGAGAGAGAGAGAGAGAGAGAGAGAGAGAGAGAACAGAGACATGTCAGAGGAAGTAGTTGTGTAACAGAGTGGACACAGACTGTGGAATGGTGTGTGAGGTGTGAGCCAAAGGACACGAAGGATTGCTGGGAGCCAGTAGAAGCTGACCAAAAGCAAATGAGGATTCTTTTGGATTCTTGCCTGGAATCTTCAGGGTTCGAACCCAGACCTCTACCCTCTCAAGCTGTATGAGGATAAACGTCTGCTGTAGTAGTCCTTTCAGCCTTGGTTCAGTTAGCCAAAGTCAACCACAGTCTAAAAATATTAAGTAGAAAAAAATAAGAGTCCTTCAAATACATGCATTCTGAGTAATGTGGTAGAATCTGATAGCCTGCCTTCCCATCTGGAGTGGGACCTGGACCTCAGACCACCACTTCACACACAATCCACCCATCACTCAGCAGCTAGGTTATCAGTCACTGCTATAGTATCTCAGGAAGCCCTTGTTTTCCTCAATAGTAACCTCCAAAGCACACAGGTAATGAATGATCTGGTAATTTAGACATGCCAAAGAAGCTGAAGACTGCCTCCTGGTTTTGGCTTAATCAGCAAAGGAAAACCATGTGGAGGTTACCAGTGTTGAATCTCCTGTTTATGAAGAGAGAGAAAGAAGTGTGTCTTAGTGTCATTGCTCCTCACTGTACAAGTCAGGGTGACAAGTCAAGACATAAATCATTAAATGTAGAAGCTGTATATGTAAGGCCTGGCACTGGCCTTGGTTCCAGGCATCCACTGGGGGTCCAGGACATACATAGGACAGAGGCAAAGGGGACATTTCAAGACATCAAGTCTGTGGGCATTTCTCATAGTGGCCCTTACTATGCTATGCAGCATGCTGTTTTTACCTTTACAATATGACAGCATTTACCATATTACTCCCCTGCATTTATTTCTCTTACTGCTGCTCCTCTGGAAAGCATACACTGGTCAACGCTCAGAGTGATGCCATGTCCCAAGCCCATCGTTCCCAGCCCATGTTCTATGTTTCTGTTTCATTCAACCTATTTGGTTAGCATCCTCAAATGTAATGCACTCTCTGTAGTTTATAGATGTCTCTCTTTTCACCTTTTGCAGGTTTGTACTCTCAAAGTGGCAGACTGCTAGAAAAAAAGTACTGGCTCAGCACGGCAGGAATCTCTACGAAGACGAGCTAGGTGTCTACCCATCTCCGAGTAAGTTGGATTCAGCTTGGTTTTTTTCTTTTATATCTAAGTGTTTGTTTATAATAATAAACTTAAATTATTGCTCAGCTCAAATAAGTTTGAGTACATGAGGTTTAAAAAGCAGGCTTAAACTCTACCAAAAACAGTTCAATAAGCCAATTACACAGGAATTAAAGGTTTTAAAATTGGACTACTTTTTATATTTTCAAGCTTACTGCTTCTTGATATATGAATACACAATTTGAAAAGTTAAAGCTAAAGTTTCAAACTGTGAGAAAAAGAAGCAACCAGAACCAAAAATGCTTGGAAACTGACTTGATATTCATGCAAAGATACCAACAACATGGTTGAAAGGGAAAACATAGTATTAGCCACAAGTTTAGGTGTTTACAAATCAATCTTTTTCAGTGAAAATATATGTAGTTAGGATAATGAAATGTAGGTCACGAGAGGGTAAGAGAGTTGGTAACTAAAACAGAAGTCACCTAGGAAGGAGGAGACAGCGGGACATGTGGGGTCGCAGGACTTAGGACTAGACTCCATCCACACTGTCTACTCTGGAGTCAGCTCCTTCACTCTCAGCTAGGGCTGTGTTCTCAGAGGAGGCTCTGTAAGTGTGCTTTCTAACAACTGCAGACTCATAGGAGTCTCATGACTAGGTGGCTCAGTGTATGCAGAGATTCTTTGTAGACTGGGAGATACTAAAAAGCACTATCAAAGTTGCTGCCACCAAGTGTTTGTTAAACACTCTCAGTATATGAACGTCAGACCCAACAACAGCCTTCACTCCACAGTTCTCCAAGGAGCCCACACCATCCCACCATCCCCCATTCTCCCCCACTGCCTCTCACTGTCCTGACTTTTTTGCCTCAGCAATAAGTTCACTTCCTCCTTCTCCCAGTATACTCAGAATTCCTCCTTTGAGTGACTATTTGTCCTGTCACCTCCTTTTATGATTGCCCATATACTAAAGGACACATAAGGGCTGGTAAGATGCGGTCCCTCCCGCCTTCTCTGCTTTTCTTCTGAGGTTTCTATCCTCCGCACAGTCTCTGCCTTCCAACAGTGCCACCATTTTCAGATGGAAATCAGTTCACTTATTGAAGTCAGTAGGTATAGTGTGTGTCCTATGGTGTCTGCCTGTCCACATAGTGTCTGTCCATGCCTTGTCAGACTGGCCCCCAAAGCTCCCATCTGCTGTTATGAGCAGATTTTAAATCCTTTTTACCAACTCTCCATTTCCCTTGAGGTGAAACTGAGGCTCTTTGGTTTCTCATACTTGTCTGTCTTTTTTTTTTTAGTGACACCTCTTACCCTTGTCCCTCCATCTAGTGAGTCATATCTCTTCATTCTCTGCATTATTTTAATGTTTAGAAAGCACACTGTTTCTTCACATCCCTCTCCAAACACAACTCCCTCCTCTTAACATTCCAGCACCAAGGCATCCTTTCCACACAACTCAGATATAGGACGAGCATCCCGAACACTGGGAATGCTCCAGAACTTTTGAGTGTCAATCTATCACCATGTAGTTACATGTATAAAAGTATTTAAGACATTGTATGAAATTACCTTTAGGTATTTATCCTCCCCCAAGCACAAATACGTTTTGTGTTTAACCTTGGGCCATCACAAGATATTTCACTATGTATAAGTAGATATTCCAAAAAATCCAAAACACCTCTGGTTTTTCCTTTCTCACAAGGTATACTCAGCCTATACTGTTCTCTCTGGAAGTTCTCCCAGAGCTCTCACAGGACTTCTTTCTTGGTCTTGCAATCCTAGGGATTCAGTTGTCATATAACAAACAAATTACCACAACACACACTTACCATTCCACAGTGGCTGTGTGCTGGGAATTTCAGAATATCTTAGCCAGTCCCCTGCTCACGGTGTCATAAGGCTCGTGATAACCCTGAAGCTGGGGCTTGGGAAAGAATACACCTTCCGGCTCAGCAAGGTTGCTGGGAGAATACCTTTTCCTAAAATGCAACTGTAAGCCAGCTCGTTGGTTGACAGTGTTGGTCAGCTCAACTAACTAGTAACGAAAAGGTTGAGAGAAAAGGAAAGTGAGTATGACAAAGACAGCTGTAAAATGTGTCATTTTCAAAGTTTTAAACAGGAGGAGAGCTGGAGAGATGGCTCCACAGTTAAGAAATCTTACCACTCCTGCTGTAGCAGTGGTTCCCAGCACCCATGTGAGACAGCTCACAATCACCTGTCACTCCAGCTCCAGGGGATCCAACATTGTCTTCTGGTTGTATAGGCACTACATTCACATCCATAAACACAAACACGCACATGCATTCACATACACAAATAAAATATTTTCTATAAAAGGAATGTTTAAAAAGTTTTATGCCATCATTCAGACAGTTGTTAATGTTAGATCTCTCGTTGTTTTTCCCACTAAGTCCCATAAATTTCTGTTTTTCATGTTTCCCACCATAGCTGAACTTTCTTTTGAACATGAAACAGAAGGTGAACCAAAGTATTATGAACTACCTCAGGAGTGGCCAGAGGAAAGCTTGCCAGAAGAACATGATGACTCAAGGGAATCCTGGGAAGAGGAAGCAGACAACCTGGTTGCCTGGACTGACGGTCTTGATGAAGAATCTTTGAACTATGAAAATGTTGAGCAGTATGAGAACTTTGGCAACTAACACACGAGGACTTTATATACTGCCTAGTTACAGTGCAGCCTCAGGGAACAGTTCTGGGAGACACTCAGAACCTGGCTTCTGCTCTCTACCCCAGTTGATCTCATCTTTCTGGAAGCACAAAATACAAAATACAAGTATAAGTCAATGAATGTGTTGTTGCTCTGGGTTTTTCAAACTCTATTCCTGTTTGGAACTGAGTTAGTCAAAATTGAGTGTTTACTGCAATGTTCTGTCAAAGCTGTTATACATATTCCCACAATCCACTGGGTACTGAAACTAAGTTCTTTTGGTTTCTTTTTAATTTATATGAGTACACTGTAGCTGTCTTCAGACACACCAGAAGAAGGCATCAGATCACATTAAAGATGGTTGTGAGCCACCATGTGGTTGCTGGGAATTGAACTCAGGACCTCTTAACCACCCAGCCATCTCTCCAGCCCTGGAACTAAGTTCTTACCAGCAACAGATGGATCAGGGAAAACCCTGAAGAGGAAAGGAAGGACAGACACTTCAGAGACAGGACATAACCCAAGTAGAGGGACCTGTGACTTTGCCTGTACCGGCCTAGGTTCTATGTCTTCTGTCATCAAGGAAGGAGACACCGAAACCACTCTTTAAGTTTCTTACATTGTCCACTCATGTCTAACCATCTCCTTTATTCTCTGTCTTCTTGCTACCTCAGCTTGTACATAGGCCATGACTCTTCTATGACACATGGCCTGTAGCCCTCCTTCCCTCAAGGTACTCTCTAAGTCAGACTTATCAATGTCAGATGTCACTGCATTCTCTATTCTTAGGTCCATGTCACATTTTACATGCTGCACAGTAGAACTTATCCTGTATTTACAATCCACTAAATTTAAGATTACAAAAAAAAAAAAAAACATACTGAATAAACCCAACAATGATCACTGAGCTTTGGCTACACCTTTTCTTAAAATATTGGGTTTTTATCTCTAATTATGTATATAAATGTTTGTATATGGTATGCATGTGTGTGTGTGTGTGTGTGTGTGTGTGTGTGTAGTCCCCCAGGGAGGCCAAAAGAGGGAGGGAGATCTCCTGGAGCTAGAGCTAGAGTTAAAGGCAGCCTGATGTGGGTGCTGGGAACTGATTTCAAAGAAGAGAGATATGATGTTGTGGAAAAGCCATGAGTCGAGGAACTGCCAGATGCTTCTAGGAACTGAAAGTAGGGAATGGCTGATAGTCAACAAAATAAGAGACCTCAGTCCTTCCACCTCATTTAAAAATTTGATAAAGTCTAATTCCTTTTTTTCTTTTATAAGTTCTGATCTTTGTGTTGTTTATAATAACTGCTTATTTAACCCAGTCAACAAGATTCTTCTTTGTTTCATGTAGAAATCTTATAATTGTGTGATTTGAATTATATCTATAGGTATTAAAAGCTAACTTTAGTGTATTATCACAAAGAAATGGATCAAAATTTGTGGACTCTCCTTCCTTCCTTCCTTCCTTCCTTCCTTCCTTCCTTCCTTCCTTCCTCCCTCCCTCTCTCCTTCCCTCTTGATGGTAAGTATCTCTCTGTACCAACAGCATTTCTTTTACCTCTAATGAGTTTCCTTAGTCGTTTGTTGGCAGTTGTGTGAGTGGTTTATTCCCAGGCTCCCTGGGTTATTCTACCATCTGTCTCTCTTTGTATCAATATAACGTTGCCTCCGTTATCACTCTCCTGTTGAATCTAGAATAAGATTAGCCTTCAATTTTGTTTTTCTTTTTCAAATTTATTATGACTCTTCTAGGCCCTTTACATTTTCAAATAGATTAATATAAGCCCTTTGTTGTCTAAATAAAACTTGTCTTAGGTTTTTGGTTTGGAATACAGGTCAATTGGTGAAAGATTGACATTTGAACTTCCATTTTTTTCCCTAAGACCAAAATTCTCTTAACAATGTTTTCTAAGTTTTCTGTTGTTCACTTGTATATCTTTTGTCAGATATTTCTTCTTAATGTTTTTTGGTTTTATTGTAAATGGTGGAATTTTTTTTTTTAGTTTTGTTTTTAGTTTGCAGTTTTCCTTGCTAGTATACAGATATAGCTTCTTAAAAAGTGTATGTTTTAGGAATGGAGAGATGGCTCAGAGGTTAAGAGTACCGTCTATTCTTCCAAAGGTCCTGAGCAAAGTTCAGAGGTTCTGCCCATTATCCAGGGAGGTATGGTACAGGAGGAACTGAGAATTCTACATCTTCATCCAAAGGCAGCAGAAAGAGACAGGTCTGGATCACACTGGACAGATGAGATATAGATATAGATATAGATATAGATATAGATATAGATATAGATATAGATATAGATATAGATATAGATATAGATATAGATATAGATATAGATATAGATGATATAGATATAGATAGATATAGATATAGAGATATAGCGATAGAGATAGAGATATAGAGATATATACATTGTGTGTGTGTGTCCTCCACAGTACTCCACAGTAACACACTTCCTCTAACAAGGCTACCCCTCCTAATAGTGCCACTTCCCATGGCCCAAGCATATTCAAACTACAATAATTATAAATTATTTTTGCAAAGTACATGGGACCTTTCTCATAAGAATGGATTCTACTGACTAAGAATTAATGCTTGGGCATCTCCAGGATTGTCGTGAAGCCTAGCTCTACAGAATAGCAAAAATCTCCAGGCTATTAACAACACCCATTTTAGTCTTCTTGTTGGGAAACAGGTGTTAATCTCTTCCATTGAAGAGAAAAGCCTGTGTGTATAATAACATTTCTGGTTTCACTATTGCTATCTGTGAGCATGAGGACCTAGTGCCCTTCTACAAGGGGCTCTAAGGAAAGTTCAGGTCCCAATACTACAGATAAACAGATAGCATTGTGAAGGGGCTCGGAAGAGACTTTGGGCCTTATTAATCTCAGCAGAAGGAGGAGACTTTATGCCACATAGTTAATGAGTGTTCCACAGCATGAGCCAGTTTTCCAGGAGTCTTGCCCAGGATGTGGAGCTAATGGGGAGGAGGGTCACATCTTGTGGCGTTAGTTCCATTGTACTGGCAGCTTTCTGATGTCCCTTGGCCTGGCAACATGAGCCTGGAGACTTCACTGGGAATGTGAGAATGGTGCCTATCATTCTCTTGGGCTCTGGACACCTGCAAGTATGGTTCATGGGTTAGAGAATCACAAACAAGATTTTCCACTTTCTTTACAACAGCCACAGCTGAGTATGTCTTGAATAGCCCTTGGCCCAAAACTTAACATACATGAGTATTCATAATATTCTTTAATTTCATTGTTTTTCTTTGTTTCCCCAGTTTGTATTGACTAATTTTGTTCTTTGACAAGCTCATGCATTTCAGATTGCTCTTACCTACCTCCCATCCTACCAGTCCACTTTGAGATCAGTTGTTAGATTCCTTGGTGGGTTGGGGCCAAGGTGTGGTGCTAAGAGATCACACAATAGATCCAACACCAGAGCTTTATTGGGGGAGAGGGAGAGAGCGAAAGGCCATCTTGGAGTAGGGACATAAGAGAGAAAGAGACAGAGGGACAGGCAAACAGAGAAAACAAGAATGAACAAGACACAGAGAGCTGTGGTGTCCAGAGGGACCTTTTTGAAGGGTTCATGTGTCACTACGTAATTCAATTCATAGAAACAGTGGAGAATGCACTGCACCTAGTGGTGGTGGGTGACGATATCAACTCTTGGTGCTGAGTCTCTGAAAGGTGGGCTGTCAGTGTTTGATTTATAACATTAATGACATTTGAGTTTGCTTTGTTACCCATTAGTTTAACTAAGACTATATGAGCATTGGATAGAAACTATCCATGGGATACTATCAGTCTCTAATCTCCATTGGGTTGTTGATGGTTTTTCTTAGAGTTCGCTCTAGAGGTTCCCTAAGAATCCTGTACACTCTCATCAATTTTATTCCTTTTAGAGTCTCTGTTTCCAATCTCTTAGGCCAAGTACAATGAGTCTATCCTTCCTGTTGTCTGTATGGTGGTCTCAGTGGTCCAGTGTATTTGGAAGTGGCCTTCCTAGCTTAGCTGAGGTTTGTCATTTCTCCAAGTTTTTGTTAGCACTAAGTTGCTACATTGGGATGGATAGACTGCAAATTCCAAGAATAGAGTCTGGCAAAGTGAAGACAAGTGGAAGATACTGCAGTATATGGGTTTTATTTTTTAAAAAATTGATCTAAGTTCTCAGAGTAGGGAGATCCATGAACCCACTAAGATTTGGGAAACCATACAACATTTCATATGGAGACAAGCCCTTGTCCCTTCTTGGCTTTTTTCTCCTTGATTACCAGAGATGTCCCATCTGTAAACCTGACCCTGTCATGTAGGGGAGTGTCTCACAGGTCCTGCCTAACTTTTGTAGCTTCCTGTGGCAGCATAGACACCTGGTCCCATGACATTGGGTTTTTTCCCCTCTACAAGAAATGTATCTCTGCACAGAATCCAAATATATACTATGCTACTGTTGCATGTCTTACGAGTCACCTGGTATCTGGGCTGGGCTGCAGATGACAGTTGGGGGTTTTGAGCAGACATGACAAATACATCTGAGAAGCTTTTAAGTAAACAGGTTGTAAAGCAGAAAGACACAGTTAAACCTAGACCTGCAGAACAGGAGGACAAAACACTAGACTCCCTGAGTACTTAGCCAAGAAAAAAAAAAAAAAGAGGGAGCTTGTGTTTAGAGTCACTAAACCCATTCTCTCATGGAATTAGCCCACCTGCCATGTCTCTGGGCTGGCACCAGACCCTGCAAGACCATAAAGTAAAATGCCTCCCATTAGCTGCTGAGAGTCTCCAGTGCTTATTTTTATAAAATGGAGTTCCTCTCTTTCCTCTACAGCAGTGGTTCTCAACCTGTGGGTCTAAAACCCTTTCAGGGATCACATATCAGATACCCTTGCATATCAGATATTTACATTATGATTCATAACAGTAGCAAGATTACAGTTATGAAGTAGCAGTGAAAATTATTTTATTGTGGCCACCACGACATAAG